GGGTGTGGCAGGGAATTGTTTGTTTTTAAAGTCCCACCTGGGTAAAAACAGTGGCCATATGGAATATTTGAACGTCCATATACCTAAGGGTCAGAGGCTTAATAACTACCAAAGAAATGGCTGTTCATCCTAGCAAGACTGTTATTGCCAACAAAGGATCTGATCACTTCTATTTCATTTGTGTAAGAGTATTTTATTTTGATCAAGAGCACCCACTGAGATAATGCCTGCATATTCCATATTTTTGTATCCCTCCCTGTGAATGGGTAAAGTTTAATCACCTCTTACGATGCAAGTCACATTTATCTTGATTAACCATTCAAGCAGTTGTCCATATGGTGTTGGCTTTTTGTTAACTGTCGATCAAAGATTTGCTTAATGAATGCAGTAGGGTTCTACTTCAGTAATTAGCATACAAAAGCCACTTCAGTAAATACTATAGATTTAAATATCCTGGTAAGTAGTTTTGTCTTGTGATGTCCTTATTGTATGAAAATATATAGTTCAGACTGTACGGGATGAAATAAAGCTTTCAAAAGTTACCTTTCTAAGTCAGAGTAAGATATAAGACTAACCCTGGCTTTAAGAAATGCAGAAGTAACAAACACTCCTGTGAAATTCTCATCTCTCTAACAGCTACTAAGCAAGAACCTTTATAGGTAAGGGAACAGGTTACTACAGTCTTAAAGGGGCAATCCTCTACCTACAACATGACGGTTATTCTTCAGCTCATACAAAGTCCTCTACAGTCTGCAACTTTGAAAAGATAACAGGTATGAAATGTCATATCTGCAGAGTGAGGAAGTATGGTGTGACCTCAGGCTGGAAGTAATGGGCAACTGCTCTAGCTACAAAATTGGCTCTCATTCCACGTTTCAAAACAAGCCAGCTGAAGCATACCACTACAGGGTATACCAAAGAAACTACCTCTTATTGTTTTTGTAAATCGGTCTTAACATTTCTCTGCTTTGATACACAACGTTCTGAGTTTCAGCATCTCCTGGTAGGTGTCATCCATGCAGTATTCAAGCAGACCTTTGGAAGGAATCCGTAACAACTGATATGAGGTCACATGAGCAGCATTCAAAAAAAAAAAAAATCACAAATTGAGGCAGAACTGATCTGCAGGGTGTGGGTCCATGTACCAAAACAGGCTGTCCACTATCAACAGAGAAACGCTCACCACCATCATGGCTCTTTCCCCACCAGCTCCAATGAGGGATGTATTTCTTCTGGGATTAAAATCATTGGATCTGTTTCTTACTCTGCATTCATTAAGCCTTGTGCCTGCTGCCTAGAAAGAACCTTTGTATACTGAGACTGATTCATCAGCTCACTATTGTTTGATGCATTTAAACACTGCTTTTGAGGTTCACAGTGGAAAAGAAATTTAGGCTTATTTGAACTGGAGCTGGTTAGTTGCTGAGCTACTCTTTAACAAGCCAGTGTTCAGGACTGTCTTTGACTTCTCAGATCACAATAAAATTGCCAACCCAACTGAGAAATATTTTATCTGTTCTGGAAAGGACCAGA